CCCTCCTTCCCCCCCCCCACTCCCTCCCTCCCTTCCTCCCTTCCTAACAGCAAGTTATGAGTGAGAACATGTGGTATTTCTGTTTCTTTGGCTTATTTCACTTAACATAATTTTCTCTAGAAGCATCCATGTTGTTGCAGATGGAAAATTTTATTCTTTTCTATGTCTGAGTAGTATTCCATAGTGTATATATACCACATTTTCTTTATCCAGTTGTCCATCGATGGGCACTTAGGTTGGTTCCATACTTTGGCTATTGTAAATAGAGCTGTGATGAACATGGGAATGCTGGTATCCCTTTGACATGATGATTTCCAGTCCTTGGGATATATACCCAGTAGTGGGATTGATGGATAATATGGTAGCTCTATCTGTAGTTGTTTGAGAAAACTCCATACTGTTTCCATAATGACTGTGCTAATTTACAGTCCCACCAACAGTGTAGAAGAGTTGCCGTTTCCCCACATCATCACCAGCATTTGTTATTCTTGGTCTTTTTAATAATGACCAGTCTAACTGGGGTGAGATGATATCTCAGTGTGGTTTTTATTTGCATTTCTCTAATGACTAGTGATGCTGAGCATTTTTTTCATGTACCTGTTGGCCATTTGTATGTCTTCCTTTGAAAAATCTCTATTCATCTCTTTTGCCCATTTTTAAATTTGATTATTTGTTTTTTTTACTGTATAGTTGTTTGAGTTCTTTGTATATTTTGGATATTAATCCCTTGTTGAATGTATAGTTTGCAAATATTTTCTCCCATTCTGTAGGTTGTCTTTCTGTTCTGTTGATTGTTTCCTTTGCTTTGCAGAAGCTTTTTAGTTTGATATAATCCCATTTATTTATTTCTTTTCCTTTCTTTCCTGTGCTTTTGGAGTCTTATTCATAAAGTTTTTGACCAGTCCTACACCCTGAAGTGTTTCCCCTATATTTTCCTTTAGTAATTTTATGGTTTCAGGTTTTATATTTAAGTCTTTAATCCATTTTGAGTTGATGTTGGTATATGGTAAGAGGTACAGGTCCAGTTTCACTTTTCTGCATGTGGATGTCCTATTTTCCCAGCACCATTTGCTGAAGAGGCAGTGTGTTCCCCAATGTATGTTCTTACTGCCTTTGTCAAAGATCAGTTGGATATAAGTATGTGGGTTGATTTCCAGGTTTTCTGTTCTCTTCCATTGATCCAAGTTTCTGTTTTTATGCCAGTACCATGCTGTTTTGGCTATAGTAGCTTTGTAATATAATTTAAGTTTGGTGGTGTTATGCCTCCAGCTTTTTTTTTGCTTTGGCTATTGGGAGTCTTTGTTGTTCCATATGAAAGTTTGAATTGCTTTTTCTATTTCTGTGAAGAATGTCATTGGTATTTTGATGGGGATTGCATTGAATCAGTAGATTGCTTTGGGTAGAATGGACATTTTCATGATGTTAATTCTTCCCATCCAAGAGCATGGTATGTCTTTCCACCTTTTGGTGTCTTCTTTAACTTCTTTCAGTAATATTTTGTAGTTCTCATTGTAGAGATCTTTCACCTCCATAGTTAAATTGATTCCTACATATTTTATTTATTTATTATTTTTTTAGGGGGTGACTATTGTAAATAGGCTTCCTTTCTTGATTTCTTTTTCTGCTAGTTCATTACTGTAGTATAAAAATGCTACTGATTTGAGGTGTTGATTTTGTATCCTACAACATTACTGAAATTGTTAATCATCTTTAAGAGTTTTTTGATAGAGTCTTTAGGTTTTTCTGTATATAAGATCATGTCATCTGCAAATGGACAGTTTGACTTTGTCCTTTCCAATCTGGATGCCCTTTATTTCTTTCTCTTGCTTGATTTCTCTGGCTTTTAGTTCCAATGCTATGTGAAATAGGAGTGGTGAGAGTGGACATCCTTGTTTTGTTCCTGTTCTTGTTCCCATTTAGGATGATATTGGAGATTGGTTTGTCATAAATGGATTTTATTGAGTTGAGATGATTTCCTTCTACACCTAATTTGTTGAGAGTCTTTATCAAGAAGTCATGTTGAATTTTGTCAAATGCTTTTTCTGCATATATTGAGATAATCATATGGTTTTTGTCCTTGATTTTATTGATATATTGTTTCACATTTACCGACTTGCGTATGTTGAACTATCCTTGCATCCCTGGGATGAATCCCACTTGATCATGGTGTGTAATTTTTTTGATGTGTTGCATTGCTAATATTTTGTTGAGGATTTTTGCACCTATGTTCATCAACGATATTGTCCTGTACCTTAATTTTTTTTTTTTTGGTTGTATCTTTATCTGGTTTTGGTATCAGAGTGATGCTAGCATTATAGAATGAGTTTGGGAGGATTTCTGTTTCAATTTTTTGGGAAAGTT